AGTAATGACACTTATTATACCACCAGCCACCTTTGTAAGACTTGGCACAGTTCTTTTCATTATCTCTGTCCCTGGTGGAAAACACCATGTTATTGTGGGTTGAAAGTGTGTCCCCTAAAAACAAGGTAATAAAAATATAATCAAAACGTTGATCCACGAAACCCAATCGTGACGTAAGAGTTTAATGTCAAGTAATGTGTGCTGTACTCAGATATTTTTATGAAGTATGTGTTTTTATTCTTCTGTTGGTTCTGACTTAAAGGAAATTTTTTGTTTGGAAATTACTTAAGAAACGATTCTCACCAAAACTAAACATCAGCTCTTAGAATCCTTTGACCTATTCTAAACCCTCAAATATTTCTTAGAAACATTGTGCACCCAGTTAAAGATAATGTACTTTAGTACCATTTGTCATTGGTAGGTGGCGATAAATATATTTATATCTTGAAAAGTTATATTTATAATTTGTTTGATCTACGGAATGAAAATTCTCACCTGCGTCACCCTTGTACGTTTTATAACTCATTTTATACAGTTCCCTTTCACTTCGCACCAAGAACTCATCATATTCTGCATATCTTTGATCACCTTCCATATCTTCTAAATCGACTCGAAGTATCATATTGTTTTGATTGGTTAAGGCAAATATGACGTCATTTCCTAGAATATGAAATATACAAAAATATAAATGTATTATGTATGAAAAGTATGAACATTACAAGAAATATTCTGAATTTATATTATTTGCTTTTTTATTTTCATTTAATAAATATCTTTACAATATTTTTGAAAGAAAAAAAAATGGATTACCTAACCAAAATTCTGTAGTTAAATTTCCAAATCCAGATTTGTAACTAGTCCACGTTTGGTCAAAGTCCTCAACCGGGTCTCCAAAATTCCCCCTTCTTTGAATTAACTATCGAAATAGAGAGAGAGTAATTTATGTTATATAAACTGAACTTACATTTAATGAAATTCATCACGTTCTCATATATATATCACACTGAAACATTTGCCAGTAATAAAGATAATTAATAACTGTATTTATATAAGGGAGTCTAACGAATAAATATATTACCATTAACTATATATCTTACCTCAACTTTAATTATTCACGATATAATCACTGTAATAATAATACCAGAACCTTACAAGCTGTAGTTCTGTAGTCTAGAACAAACAGTTGAATTGTAGTTTCATGTTTATAGTATCATGCAGCCTAATGACTGTGTTACAAGTAGACGGTAGGAACATAATTTTTCTTTTCTTTTTTACGAATATATGAGTGATTGTGTGATATAAAAAGAGACATTATAAGTAATTGTAAAATATTAAAATTAACAACGTGTGTTCATATTATTAAAAGTATTTATTTTTCTAGCTTAGAATCTTCTCCGTACTCATTTTGGACATCACAAACTTCTACTAGATCACCTACCGTCCATCCTCCCCCTACAGTCTCCATATCACAGTATACAGAGATTGGGTGGTTCAGAAAATGTGGTCATAACTTGAAGATGCCGTTTGTTTGATTTAAGTGATGATAGATGGCAGAACGGTCTACCTGTAGAGAGAGAAGTTCTTTCTCTGATTTGTGTTGCGTTGATAGAGATGGGCGTTATGGTATGAAACACGTCGTGTTTAGAACAAATAGGGCCTGGAATAGAACAGACAGTAAAGTAT